CTCAGTTAGACGAAGCCATTTATCCATAAACATGCAACTAGTTAATGGTGAAGCTAGAATTTGAATTGGTGCCAATCATAATCTCTGATGTGGTTTGGCTCTGTGTCCCCACCCAAATCTCATCTTGAATTGTAATCCCCATAATCCCAGGGTGTTGAGGGAGGAACCTGGTGCGAGTTGATTGGATCACGGAGGTGGTTTCCCCCATGTTGTGCTCATGATAGTGAGTGAGTTCTCACGAGATCTGATGGCTTTGTAAGTGTTTGTCAGTTCCCTTTTCACAGGCTCTCTCTCACCTGCCACCATGTAAGATGGGCTTGCTCCCCCTTCTGCCATGATTGTAAGTTTCCTGAGGCCTCCCTAGCCATGCACAACGGGGAGTCAATTAAACCTTTTTTCTTTATAGATCACCCAGTCTTGGGTAATATCTTTATAGCAGTGTGAAAACAGACTAACACAGTCCCTAAAGACACAATTCCCAATGGTTAAATCCTGAAAGCCAAACTCTGGGGAAGGGATTAGTGTGTTTTCAGTTGTATTAGGGGTAGTTGCATTATGTTAGTTACAGCACATTAGGTGGAACTGTTACCTTGTTACTGTCTTTATTTGCAAATTAAGTATGGTTTAAGGAGACGTATACGGATGCCAAGTTGACAAGGGGTGGATTTGTGAACCTAATTTTAGTTGTTAACTTGACTGAATTAAGGAATACCTAGAAACCAGATAAAGCATTATTTTGGGTGAGTCAGTAAGGGAGTTTCCAGAGGAGAACAGTGTGTGAATCTGAGTGGAGCAAGTAGGGGAAGATCTGCTCTCAGTGCAGGTAGGCACCAGGGAGTTGGCTGGGGGTCCAGAGAGAAAAATGTAGACAACAAACTGAGAGCTGGGACAGACTTTTCTTCTGCTGCCTGGAACATCAGAAATTTGACTCCACCAAAGTGCGTCATCACAACGTTGACTTTGTGTGTCAGCATGGCGCATGTATTTAAAAATGTTGAAACTTCCTCGGCAAATGAAGAGATGTCCTCTATGTGCATCTTCATTTGTGAAAGGTAAAATTTCTCAAGATCTTTACTCTTTGGGTGATCACATAGGCAGTGGTGACTCATCACTCTTTTTGATGGATTTCATTGAAAGACTTAGGTTTGTCACGGTATTTCACATGAACACAGGTATAAAGCTGGATGCACACAACACCATCCATAGTAATATGTATCTATACGTTTCACTTTTTGTCATGATTCTTTACGAATATGGTTCGTCTGCTGCTCATAAGTGTCATACTCATGTGACTGTTGCTACTAAGCCTGGGTGTTTATGCTTGCAATAATATGTATGTTGTTATTGCGTATTTCGTTGCATCAAGTGGCCTATGAAGTGTTCTGTTGTGTTTTTATGTTTCTTAAATACATCCTCTTTAAAAAAAAAAAAAAGCAAATAAATATCTTTTTTTTTTCTGAGACAGAGTCTTGCTCAGTCACCCAGGCTGGAGTGCAATGAGTGGCACAATCTTGGCTCACCGCAACCTCACCCTCCTGGGTTCAAGCGATTCTCTTGCCTCAGCCTCCTGAGTGGCTGGGATTACAGGAACCTGCCACCATGCCCAGCTAATTCTTGTATTTTCAGTAGAGATGGGTTTTCACCATGTTGGCCAGGCTGGTCTCCAACTCTTAACCTCGTGATCTCCTGCTTTGGCCTCCCAAAATGCTGGCATTACAGGCATGAGCCACTGTGCCCGGCCTAATAAATATCTTTAAAATTTTTTTTTTAATTAATTTTTTAAGAATCATGTTTTTGGGATTTTGATGTTTCAGGATTGCGATTTTCAGGATTTCAACCATCGAATTACAGCATTTGGGATTGTGTCTTTTGGGATTATAGCCCAAGCCCACTTGTAATCCATTTCTGCTGCCCCCTGGTTTAGTACTTTAACCCTAGCTCATTGTTCAACAAGTAGACATAGATTTAGGAGACAGAACTAAAATAGCACAGACCTGGGTGGTCCTAGGATGCTCACAGCCTGATAGCAGGCAAACCAGCAACTCTGCAAGCCCCTCGGCTTTCCTGAGGAATGCAGTCCAAAGTCTTTAAAATCCCCAAGTTCACCATTGCCTTTAGACCCCTTTGCTCCCCTATCAACACTAAAAGTCAACTTCCTTTCTGGAGTCTCTTTATGACAAAGAAACCTATCTTTAACACTTCGTGAGAGTTATCCTGCACCAAACAATAGAGAGCCACAAAATAACCAAGCTCACTCCTGCCTTGGGGTCTTTGCACCAGCTGTTTGCTCTCCTAGGAATGTCACCTCCCCACCGTCTTCATGTGGCCAGTTTTTGCAAGAAACTTGTTATTGCAAGTTTCTTTTCTTGATTTGTTTTCAATTGTGGTAAAATATACATAATATAAAGTCTGCCATTTTTACCATTTTTAAGTGCACAAGCCAGTGGCATTAAGTATATTGACAATGTTGTGCAACCCTCACCACTATCTGTTTCCAAAACTTTTTATCACCCCAAACAGAAACTCTGTACCCACTAAGCAATACCCACTGTGACCTCCCTATCCCCAGCACCTGGTAATTTCTATCTGCTTCCTATCTCTAGGAGTTGCCTATTCTAGATATTTCACATAAGCAGAATCATACGAGAGTTGTCCCTTTTTGTTAGCTGATTTCACTTAGCACAATGCCCTCAAGGTTCATCCACGTTGCAGCATGCATGAGCACTTCCTTTCTTTTTTTTTTTTTTTTTTGAGATGGAGTTTCACTCTTGTAAGGAAGGAGACCACTACTACTCCTGCTGCCCTCCTCCCCGCACCTTGCCTAGTTCACAAGACAGGAAGAAAGAGAGAAAGCAAAAAGTTAGAAAGAAACAAAAGTAAGATAAATAGCCAGACAAACTTGGCACCACCACCTGGCCCTAGGAGTTAAAAAAAGTGATAATAATAACATCAACCCCTGACCTAAACTACTTGTGTTATCTGTACATTCCAGACACTGTATGAAAAAAAGCATTGTAAAACTTTTTGTTCTGTTAGCTGATGCATGTAGCCCCCAGTCACATTTCCCATGCTTGCTCGATTTATCACGATCCTTTCACATAGACCCCTGAAAGTTGTAAGCCTTTAAAAAGGCCAAGAATTTCTTTTTCGAGGAGCTCCACTCTTAAGACGCAAGTCTTAAGACGCTCCCGTCCGAATAAAAAACCTATTCCTTCTTTAATCCAGTGTCTGAGGAGTTTTGTCTGCGGCTCGTCCTGCCATAGTTGCCCAGGCTGGAGTGCAGTGGTGCAATCTCAGCTCACCACAACCTCCACCCCCCGGGTTCGAGCGATTCTCCTTCCTGCCTCAGTCTCTCCAGTAGCTGGGACTACAGCCGTGCGTCACCACACCCAGCTAATTTTGTGTTTTCAGTAGAGACGAGGTTTCTCCATGTTGGTCAGGCTGGTCTCAAACTCCCAACCTCAGGTGATCTGCCCACCTCGGCCTCTCAAAGTGCTGCGATTACAGGTGTCAGCCACCGTGCCCGGCCCTGCACTTCCTTTCTTTTTAAGGTTGAATAATATTCCACTGTACGGATAGACTACTTTGTTTATCTATTCATCTGTTGCTGAACATTTTGGTGGTCACACTATTTGGCTACTCTGAGTAACACTGCAGGGCTCCCTTCTTTTTTCTTAATTTTTAATTTAATTTTATTTTAAGCTCCAGGGCACCTATCTGGGATGTGCAGGCTTGTGACATAGGTAAACGTGTACCATGGTGGTTTGCTGCACCTATCAACCCATCATCTAGGTATTAAGCCCAGCATGCATTAGCTATTTATCCTGATGCTCTCTCCCTCCCCCTACTGGTTCCCCCAACAGGCCCCAGTGTGTGTTGTTCCCTTCCCTGTATCCATACATTTTCATTGTTCAGCTCCCACTTGTAAGTGAGAACATGCAGTGTTTGGTTTTCTGTTCCGGCATTAGTTTGCTGAGGATAATGGCTTCCAACTTCATCCACATCAGGGCTCTCTTCTAACGCTGACTGCTCTCTCTCCTTCTCACTTTCCATCGCATCACTCTGTTTTATTTTCATCACAGAACATACCATCACATAAAATTAAATTGTTTGTCTTCACTCCTTCAGCCTCCTTCCAAAAGGACAGTCCATGGGAACAGAGAACCTTTTCATTCATCACTGGATCTCCAACTAAAAGTCCTAGCGTGAGGTCTGACACATAGTAGGTACTCAACAAATTCTTTTTAACAAATGCATTTTAAAAACAATGAAATGAAAAGACTGGCCAGGTAATCAGGCTCACTAACTTGCTAACTAACTCCAGCCCTCCCATTGCAGAGCAATGCATACAGATTCATATCTTAGCAAGATAACCAATGACTACCTATCATAGGTCTTTAGGATGTGATGCATAAAGTATAACTCAAAATGATAAATCATCAACACCAAGGATCTACCACATCATATGGTTGTAAGTTGCCATAATGCTGATGTGGGCAAAGGATCCAGGACACAAAAACGCCAGTGAGTAAAAGAAGTAGGATGAAGAGAAAAAAGAAGCTTTCCATAGCTCTGTGCCCGGGAAAAAAAGACTGCTCCTGTCTTTATACAAGGCGAGAATCTCCAGCATCGTTGGCCCAGAGAGGCACACAAGAACGCAGCCCACCCTGGCAGCTCTGTGTCACCTTCTGCCCTGATTTAACAGGGCTCTCTTTATCCCCAAGGATGAGACCACACATCTCTCCGAGAGAGCCTTCTTCCCATTGATCTCCACCCTGGGGGATTATAGAGAATTTCAGTCGGTGCACGTTGATCCCATTATTGCTTACTACATGACTATTTCCTGGGGCAGGGAGATAATCCAATTCTGTTCCTTTCCCACACACAGGCATAAAACCATAATATATAATAAATGATGTCAGATGCAGCACTACCCAGTTCAGCATTCTATCCTTAACACCAGGAGCAAAGAATATTTTGTGAGCAGCTCTAGTACTTACTTGTTCCACCTGACACAGATGCCACATCCTGCTCTTTCACCCCAAAGTCCTACTGTATCCCTGAGTCCTACTGTCCCGTTCTCTCTGGACCATGTGCACATCATCCCTACTGGTTCCACTCAGCATATGGCCACTGGCGTCCTGCAGTGTTCCAGGATCTGTGTTGGGAATGGGAGAGATAATGAGGGATGAGTCATGACCTCTGTCCTCAAGGGTTTCACTAAGAAGCAGGAAAGGCAGACAATAAATCAGTTCCCATAAGACACTTGAGTAAGTGCTTAATTAGAGTTTGTGATTATGCTCTATGGGAATATAAATGGATAAAGAGGGTCAGAGAGCCCTGACATTTTATTTGGACCTTGCAGGTAAGTAGAAGGTCACCAGGGAGTTAGAAGGGTAGGAAGGGAGTCCAGGTTTCCAAGTACAGAGGCACCAAAGATTAAATGAATGTGCAGTGAACAGTGTGCTTCTGCATGAGGAAACTGAGGGGCAAGGAGTAGCTGGCAGCGGGACCAGAGAGGCAGACTGGAAGCAAATTGTGGATGGTCTTCTCATGCAGGATACAGGATTTGAACTTCATCTTGTTGCAAACTGAGACCTTGCAGCGGTTTCCAAGCAGAATGTGACTGCAGTGACAATTGAATCTTTGTTAGCCAATCAGATGCACATGTGAAGGAAGGAAAAATGTCATTGATGCCTCCAAGTATTGGTAGCTTGGCCAATTTAGTGGGAGCAGGAGGAATGCTGAGCACATTAATAAAAAGGAACAGAGAAGGCAAGAGAAGAAAGAGATGAGAGTGGATGGCACTGCTGCTGAAGAATGTGTAAAGTGAAATAAAGTGGGTTAGCACGGAGACACCAACAGAAGCAAAGAAGCCAAGTGGGGCACTGAAAGAGAAATCTAAGTGGGAAAAGAGCTGGGAGAGAACATTGCCTTGGAAGTCTACAAGGTTGAAAATGTACATTAAGAATCACAGGCTTCATAAACGTTGAGTAGCCTGAGACCTGAAGGTGGTGACAGAATTGTGGAATGAGGAAATCTTTGGTGACCTTAGGAAGTTCATTTTCAGTATAGAGGTAGCAAAAAGAAGATGGATTGACATAGGCTGAGATTTGAATACAAGCAGAGGGAACAGTGGCTCTCAGCCATGGCTGCATATTAGAGATACTTAGGAAGCTTTTGAAAATGCAAACACCTGGGCCCCAAATCCAGAGATTCTGTTTTAATTGTCCTGGGATAAGGAATAACCATGGGAATTTTTTTTTTTTTTTTTTTTTTTTTTTTTTGACAGAGTCACCCAGGCTGGAGTGCACTGGCACAATCTCAGCTGGCTGCAACCTCCACCTTCCGGGTGTTAAGCAATTCTCCTGCCTCAGCCTCCCCAGTAGCTGGGATTACAGGCACGCGCCACCACGCCCAGCTAATGTTTGTGTTTTTAGTAGAGATGATGTTTCGCCATGTTGGCCAGGCTGGTCTCAAACTCCTGACCTCAAGTGATTCACCCTCCTTGGCCTCCCAAAGTGCTGGGATTACAGGCGTGAGCCACTGTGCCCACCCAATCATGGGGATATTTTTTAAAGCTCCCCCATAGGATTCCACTGGGCTACAAAGGTCAAGGACCACTGGACAAATGACTAAGAGAGGAACATACAGGGCAGATCTTGAAAAGGAAGCAAAGTAGAAAGAAATGGGGAAAACGCATGTGAAAGGGGAAATGAATACATAATAGTATGCGGTGGGGGAAAGCCCGGAGAAAGAAAGAGACAGTGAAGATGTGAGAGTAGAATAACTTCAGATGTAATGATGAAGGAAGTAAAACTAGGTAAAAATATAGACAAATTTAGAAGTAAAAACTTAGGAGGGACATACATGAAATAAATCACTTCTGCTGACCTCCATATTCTCTGCAGAGCCTCAGCTGGGAATGGGGGGTGATGGTGGGTTGGGGGGAGCAAGGGGAGGTCAGGGCAGCCACTGAAGGGCAAGGGAGAGAAAGTCAACAAGAGATGATTAGAAGGTGACTGAGCAGGGCTGGCAGCACAGCTGAGGCTGGGAAGCTCATAAATTGGTAATGGAACCAATTCAGCATGGTTATGTGATTTTTCTCTAGCATTGGAAGGCAGGGAAGGAGAAAACAAGCTGTTGGATTGACACAGCATTGGGGATGGAAAGGAGGCACAGCTGTGGAAGGAGGACAAAGAGATGAAGGAGATGGAGGCATGGATGACAGTGCCCTTGCAGGGACGGGTGATTAAATCTAGCCGAGGAAGGGGAGAAGGACAAGGCCAAGTGAGGTCTGACAGCCTGTAAAATTAGGTGCCAGTTACATCAGAATACATATGTCCACATAAGGTTTTGTATTTGTAGGCTTTGACTAGATACAAATCAGGGTTCCCCAGAGAAACAGAATCAATAGATACAGATACAGATATAGATAAAGAGAAGAATGTTTATAATTAAGAACATTTGTAATAAAGAACATTTATAATATATCATGTACACATATGATTTATTATGAAGTTATTGTAAAGAACTGGCTCACACAATTAGTGGCTGAGATGTCCCATGATTGGCCATCTTCAAAGACCCAGGAAAACCAATGGTGTAAATTCCAGTCCATGTCCAAAGGTTTGAGCACTGATAGTGTAAGTCCCAGTCCAAGTGCAGAAGACCATTGTCTCAGGCAGAAAGAGAGGGAGAGTTCAACCTTCCTCTGCCTCTTTGTTCTATCTGGGCCCTCAACAGGATAAGCCATGCCCTCCCCCCCACATTGGGAAGGGCCGTCTGCTTTATTCAGTCTACCAATTCAAAAGCTAATCTCTTCCCTCACAGACACACTCAGAGATAATGTTTAGCCAGATATGAGGGCATCCCGTAGTCCTGTCCGGTTGACACATGAAATCAGCCATCACAGACTTGATAACAGTAGCTTTCATTGTAACCCTTGGGATTTATGCACCAGGTATCATGCTAAGAGCTTTACATGTAGGGTTTCATTTAGTACTCTCTCACTTTGCAGAAGAGTAACTACAGTTCAGAAAAGTCAGATTACTGTGGACTTCTCTGACTCTAAGGCACAGGTCCATGAATGTGTGGCCCAAAAGGGTTGCAGAGCTAGACTTCTGAGCATATGGATTTTGTAGGTTGGGTCATCTCAAGTGATGGGGATGAACAAGGTATAGGAGGTGACAACAGGACTGGACTGGTGAAGTGAATGGAAGCTGAGTCATTGACACTGAGGAAGTCAGAGCTGTCTGTGGCCAGAGAAAGGAATGCCTCAACAACAAGGGTGCTGAATTTGTGCCAGTGGTCCAGGAATCGGGGACCGCAGAGATCACAAGGAAAATGTAACTTCCCAGAAGCGGTAATCTGAAGAAGAACCAGCCTAAAGCCAACTAGAATAAATGTTTAAAGGCCAGGGAGATTCTGAGACTTGGCAAGAGGTGGCATCAAAAAGAGACTTGGCATCTCTCTTTTTGCAGGGTTCTCAGTTGTGGTGAGGGACCCCAAGACCATCCTCAGCTTCAATGATTCACTAGAAGGACTCACAAAACTCAGAAAAGCTGTTATATTCATGGCTATGGTTTATTACACTAAAAGGATTCAGATTCAAAATCTGCAAAAATAAAATAAAAATGGCATAGGGTGGTGTACAAGAGAAACCAGACGTGAGCTTCCAGGTGTCCTCTCTCAGTGGAAAAACACAGACAGGGCTTAATTCTCTCTGCAATGATATGTGCCTACGCACAAAATATTACCAGCCAGGGAAGCTCACCCAAGCCTTGATGTCCAGGGTTTCTATGGGGGTCAGTCATGTGGGCATGGAGCACCCACATGATATACAAAGACCTTCTTATCAGGCAGAGTATTCCAAGCATTTCTATCACTTACATTCTGATAATACCTCTTGAGCAGAGACGAAAATAAGTGGTTCCCTTACACCTAGCATTCTAGGCCGTGGACAACACTCAGCTTGTCTTCTCCATGCTGCAGTCGACCCTAATATTCGTGAGTGCTTCCTGTTTTATAATTCTCAATGAGTAACTCTTTTGTGGAGGGATATTCTATTAGAGATCACCCATGAGAGTTTTGCCTGGGGACTGCTTTATGCCTACCTTTCCTCGACCAACAGGGGACCATTCTATTCCAACTGCCCTTGGGGAAGGGTGTTACAGCAGCAAAAAGGAAAAAGAAAAAAAGAAATCATGCTTAGATTTCCTTTTCCAAATGAACATTTCAACTTACGGCAGAGACAAAAGTTTGGTAGGAAAGGGATTTTGGAATTCCAAAGCAGAGCCTAGTAAGACTCAGGGCATAAAGTTTAGTTAAGCAAAAAGATTTCATGACCAGTCAGAGCCAGCTTTTACCTCCACTCTTATTAGATTAAAAAATCTTAAGTAGAAAGAGGGTGAAACTAGGAAACCCCGTCTCCACTAAAAAAAATGCAAAAAACTAGCCGGGTGTGGTGGCGGGCGCCTGTAGTCCCAGCTACTCGGAAGGCTGAGGCAGGAGAATGGCGTGAACCCGGGGGGCGGAGCTTGCAGTGAGCCGAGATCGCGCCACTGCACTCCAGCCTGGGGCACAGAGTAAGACTCCGTCTCAAAAAAAAAAAAAAAACAAAAAAACCAGGAGTGGTCTGAGAGAAGCCTCCGCGTCCTGATTCTCTGGGGTCAAGTCCATGAGCAGACTCATAAGAACCATAAGCCCAAGAGCAGAAGGAACCCACATTTACCTGCTGAGCAGGCCTGAGGCAAATAAATAAGGTCTGAGAATTCTCCATCTGTATCCTATCATGGAGCCGCAGTAATGGAGAATTGCCTTGAAGGGTCCAGGGAGACAGGCTTGACCTCCCAGGCCCCTATAAAAAAATAGGCCAGATGCTTCCCATTCAACCTTTTTGTTTTTGTTTTGTTTTGAGACAGAATGTCACTCTGTCACCCAGGCTGGAGTGCAGTGGCACCATCTCTGTTCACTGCAACCTCCACCTCCCAGGATCAAGCAATTCTAGTGCCTCAGCCCTCTGAGTAGCTGGGATTACAGGTGTATGGCACCACACCTGGCTAATTTTTGTATTTTTAGTAGACAGGTTTTTGCCATGTTGACCAGGCTGGTCTCAAACTCCTGGCCTCAAGTGATCTGCCTGCCTTGGCCTCCCAA